GTCACATATCCATATACAGTAATTTTTAGATAAAATGCGAGTGACTTAGACGAGAGCGTTAAGAAAGAGTGTTTATGGAAGTTTGTCCGATCTAATTTTTTATTTTTAAGAAATTTTACGTATCCTGTTGTCTTACAGTTGTGTTTAATGTACAATATAAATCTTAATTTGTATGTTTTTTATATCTTATGATTCTTCCTTCTTGAAGGTGGGATAATAGGTCATCTCAAAAAACCACAACCAGTTTTTATGCACAACGTTTCGGATTTATTTGAATCCTTCCTCAGGTGAGTTAACGCAATGGTTAAAAAAGTGGTCGTCAGTCATTAATATTTTATAACAATTTATTTAAAAAAAAAAAGAGCCAGTGTGGTACTTATTCAGACTAGAAACAAACGTTTTAATATTTTGAAAAATATTTTGTTTTAATAATGTTTGCCTGTTCTTTAGTGATACTGTTACATTCTTATTGGTTTTTGTGTATAAATCAATCTGGAGTTTGCTGACGGTTTTTTAACGCTTAAGTCAAATATGTTTATGCCGTTGCTATATTAAGTTTCTGCAGTAACTGCTATGTTTTTATGTAAGAAGTTCACGTCTGTTGTCAATGTTGCGTCGGTCATAATGACGATGGGCAAACCAACTATAGAGCTTTCGCAGAGCTCACACTCAAGGAAATATTTTTTATGCTCTGTAAATTTATTTCAATGAATATGACAGAAGTGGTTTGTTTATGTTTTATAGTTTGGTTATGGATGGAAACTTATGGTTTGGATTTTGTATGCAGTTAACTTTACATGAGGAACAATATATGCTTTAAATCTGCCATTTTATTATAAAAACTGTGGCTTTTCCTAATAGTAAATCTATTTTATGTTTCCATGTGTTAATAATTCTGCTCTAATCGTTTTGCTGAATGTTTCTTTTCCACTGCAAACCAGATGTCTGAAGGTTGAAATTTATCTCCAAATTGTGCCAGGTGGAAGAATAAGCCAGTCAACTAAAATAACGTGGCACTTAGAAAATAAGTGTTTAGCCTTTTACCAGGAGGAAGTAAATCAGCCGAAGCAGAAACACATCTTGGGTCAACCACAACTTGTACAAACGCAAATAGATCCGTATCGGGGAACGGAAAGGATTGATTTATTGCCGGTTAAATCTATAACTGGTCGGAAATCCGGTTGGAATCCGAGACGAGAAGCTTGTTTCTTAATTAAAACATTAATAATTAAGGTTTACTCGGAATAGTTAATTTTCTGTCCTATGACAGATACAGGCTACAAGTTCTGGCGGTTTATTAATGTTCAGAAATTTCAAAACGTGAAAAATGAAACGTTAATTCAAGAATAATTTGTCATAAGTGTTATAAGGTGCTGGAATAACACGACACGAATAAAATGTTTCTAAAATAGCAGAAAATATTACAAATAAATGTTTAGTTTTTTGTTAGAAATACATACATACACTACTTTTCTTTTCGTTCAACACTTATGCCAATGATTATTTAGAGATCGTGAGATATGTTGAGAGTGTCCATACTAACACGACACACAAGAATGACACATCTACACGGAAAACAACACTTTGAGCCCTGAAGATGATCTCAATAAACGTCGAAACGTGGCACGATAAAGAAAATGTTTTTCTAAAACCTACGTCACACCAGACCGCACCTCACCTTGGCTAACGGTCACTAAACACAACACACTTTTGCCAATATTTCATTGATAATTTCATTTGAATTTTTTAAAAATTATAGTAATAAATCCTTGAAATCGTCTGAAATTCAAGACTTCAGAATTCGAGATTTTTTTTAGGGTCAAATGTTCTGTTCACTTATAAACTAACGCTAAGTTATTAGAAAGAAACGTAAACAAAAATTATGAAAATCTATTTCTTGAATCCGGAACCTGCTCAGATTTTATAACTTACCATAAAAAAACTTCTATCTTTATAGAACAAAGAAAATCGAGTAGCTGCATTTCAGACCTTCCCGCCCAGATGCTCATGGATAAATAGTGACCAGACAAGGTAAAAAATAAATCAAGCATAATCTTTTCAAACCTTTTTAAAAGAAAGGAAGCAAGGTCGCAGACAAATGTAAATTTAATGGTAATCGCTCTGTTTTTCCTCTCGCTCAAGAAGGAGAAGGAAATAGTCTAATTGACACTGGCTCGAAGTTTCATTTAGTGACAGCACCTAACTTCCTCTGACTAATGTTGTCTTGCCGGCTGTACAAAAACGATTAACCGGTCCATTAACCTAAAATTTTAAAGTATTTAGCCATGCTTGCTCGGCCCCACGCAGTAAACTTCGTCAACAACTGTTAAAACACGATTGTAATATTTTTATATAAAATATATAAATCACAACTCCCAGATATCGCTTGACATGCGTTAACATAATTAAAGTTAACATAAACATAATTTTAACGTAAGCATAATTTTAACATAAAATAATACAGGGCGTACTGCATTGTTTAACAATAATACAATAATTCAAAAATGTGGTAGCTTACGCATTGAAAGGAAACACTACTACAAAGATGATAGGAAAAGATGTCAATACAAAATTTACAATAATCTAAATTTGATTTAATGTGCTTTGTTTTAAAATTTTATAAAAACAAAGCTGTCAGAAAGACTTTTAAAAGAAAAACTATTACCAAGTATGGTATGGTAGGGTGATGAGGATACTACGAAGCGGGTTTGTAACTTCCCAGGCACTGCAGCCATCTGGCTTATTGTACCTTCCTAGTTCCTTAGTTCAGTGCAATAGACTCTATCCTTCTCCTTAGAAGTATCAGGTCATTGACTGTCGCTACTCCAATTTCATTCCCTAAGTTTTTTCGTGTGTTAGGTTGAATCTCCATTGAGCTGTTGCTTCGCATCCGAAGATGATATGGGTGGCTGTTTCCTCCTCCTCATTACATAATCTGCAGATGGGATCATCGTTGTATATGCCCATGTTGTGTAGTTGTTTTCTCAGATGCCAGTGATCGGTTAGTAGTCCTATCACTCATCTGAGTTTAGCCCTCTCCAGTTGCAGCAGTGATTTTGCCAGTCTTGGTGAGGGTTGTTTCATCATAAGTTTACAATGTCTAGCACTGCTAGAGTTTATCTACTTCTCCTTTTGTTTTGTTTGGTTCTATTCCGCGATGGAGGATTCTATATTTGTTTTTGTTATCCCAAGTATATGTTCGGGGCCTTGTATGGTCTTGCAGTTCCTCCTCCTATCCACTTTCTCGTTTCCCAAAATTCCTCTGTGCCCTAACACTCAAGATATCATCAGGTTGTTGTGTTTTACCAGGTTTCGGAGATTTTGGATGCATTCACTGATTAATTTTGATGAAATTCTTTTATTTGCTAATGCTTTAATGGCTGCTTGGCTATCAGATCTTATGAGGATTTTTTCCCAATCACACATGGCCTCATAGGGCAAACGAGTAAGCAGCTTCTAAGACGACAAACAATTATTCAGAGAAGATCTTTAAGAAGAGGCAATTTCAAGCATGCCAATACACGCCACGACTCCTAAATATAACTTAACAAAGTAATTACAATTAATTAAGGTTTTTTAGTTGAGATAAAAAAGTCAATGGCACGAGCGGGATTCGAACCCACGATCTTCGGCTAGATACGCCGCCTTGAAAAATGGCAAAAAGGAGGGAAAATTCAAAAGGTGGGGTTGAGATGAGAAGTTATTGTCTGAGTGGATCGAGGTCACGATAGCTCAAGTGGTAGAGCAGCGACGTATCTAGCCGAAGATCGTGGGTTCGAATCCCGCTCTTGCCATTGACTTTTTTATCTCAACTAAAAAAAACCTTAATTAATTGTAATATATTAATTGGTCAAGCGGACCACGAAATTAGTGAATTTAACAAAGTAATGTCATAGTACCAGTTATCTCCTATTCTTGACAATTGGCATTCGTGATGAGGAGATTAAAAGTCTGGACAAAGAAAGCACGAAGCCATCTATGCCAATAGCCAAAACTCAAAACACAACAACAACTAATTGGAACAAAGAATTAATTGTTTCTTGTCTCTTTCTCCGGGCGCACAGGTTAGAAAGGTAATAGTGAGTTTACCAGAAAAGAGATATCAGAAGCAAAGAAAAGTAAGTGCCCCGTATAGTCACCCCAGGACATGCTAAAACTCGCCAAGAAGCATAAAATTTCAATATAGCTTTAAATCCTAAAAATCGACTCAAACGGCATATAAAAACATAAAGAGTGGCAGAATTAACCTACGGAGATTCTGCAAACAATAAGAGGAAATTGAGGATAAAACCCAAACGTGGAGGAGCATAATGGTCCAACTGATGGTCGCAGTGCAAAAGGCTTTATAGTCACCTCTAGGACTACTCTAAGCAGTTGCTAAGATGCCAACTGACTAATAAGAAGGAACTTCGCGTTGAAACAATACTGGGTAAGCCAATGGACGCCATGACTCACTCATAGGTACAAGGCCTCAAAGAAATAACATAGCAGCAGATAGAGCATGGAAGAAAGGGCTACCAGTCAACCAATCCTGGCTTTGTGAATCTTAAATTTCTTAACCTTCCTGGCAATGGTTCATTGTGTAGTGTCTTCAAGAAAAACAACCTAGCACACTCACTTCAGTAAAAAATTTACTATTTACCATCAATACCTTTATTTTCCTGTAATTTAAAACATCAGATAAAGTTTCTGGGGGATTTATTTCCCTTAAATGGTCAATTTAATTCCATACATAGGTTTAGAAAATATGGTTTTACGGTTAAATTACAAGTATTTTTAATTGTGGTTCTTCATCAAAAGTGAAGGATTGCATCACTGCTAGGAATTTAATCGGGCGGAAACAGTACGCAAACGAGGTCGTTTGAAATAGACCAATTGCCGCACATTTATAAACCGTCCTATTAGACTTGATGAACACTGATCTTCAGACGTAGACCAGTGCCAAATGGTCTGAAGGTCTGAAAATTTAAGAAAACCAGTAATATATTTTTCCATCTTACTCAGTGGGAGTGCGAAGTGACGCTCTTTAAATTTCTTCGTGACATCAGTCGTGACGATTTCCTGGAAGAGCGACCCGTTGACACCCCTCGGCGGCAAACTCTCTTCGGCATCGAGCATCTACAAAGCAGAAACAACGATTTAAACATTTTATGCCATTGTGACTTTTTGATACGTTGTCTTTCGTTTCATTCAGCTGTTGAGTCATTGAGAAACGAGTCAATGAAACCGTGAACTTCTGACTCGATATGGAAGTCTATTCTTCAACCTTGAATCGGCAATAAAAGCCGTTGCTAATTTCTTGAATAACTAACTTTTCCAAATATCGAGTTTACAATTTAAAGGAATCCGAACACCGTGGAATGCCGTAATCTTCGAATGACGCATACGGACTAAACAGTTGCGAAATCGCTTTTTAAAGGAGCCAAATGCACGGCGAAGAACAATTAATGAGACCTGATGATTGCAGTAGTTGATTAGTTTTTAGATTAAAATTAATCATCCAATGATTGAGAACAGCGTTCGGCTTTGAGCCGGTTGAAAGGTCGGGGAAACAATTACGACCCACATTTATTTCGTTCTGTTTTGAAATCCTACATATTCGGCCAAGGAAACGCTAACGTTCAACGTCAAAAAATAAAAAGGCCTTTTTTAAAAAAACAGAAGAACATCTGGCAGTGACAATTTTGATTAATGTGTATTGTAAAAATTGCTAACATTTTAAACCTTCGACATAATTAGGCAAGACTAAACTAAGCACAATAATCAATCCTGAGAAGTAGATGAGAATATAAGAAAGGATAATTCATCAACTGAATATTCATTAAAACCATAATATTACAAATACGGTACGGTATAAATTATTTCAAAAGAAAAAATTTGCAGAGTTTATTGCAGTATCTGAGTCCTCTGTTGGGGGATGCAAAAAACGAAAATCAACTTTTTTAACGTACCTACTTTCCTTCCTAAGTGGTTGGTCGGTATATTGCATTGTTGATTTAGGTCGTTGTATGTGTTCATATATATATATATATATTTGTTTTGTTTGGTTCTATTCCGCGATGGAGGATTCTATATTTGTTTTTGTTATCCCAAGTATATGTTCGGGGCCTTGTATGGTCTTGCAGTTCCTCCTCCTATCCACTTTCTCGTTTCCCAAAATTCCTCTGTGCCCTAACACTCAAGATATCATCAGGTTGTTGTGTTTTACCAGGTTTCGGAGATTTTGGATGCATTCACTGATTAATTTTGATGAAATTCTTTTATTTGCTAATGCTTTAATGGCTGCTTGGCTATCAGATCTTATGAGGATTTTTTCCCAATCACACATGGCCTCATAGGGCAAACGAGTAAGCAGCTTCTAAGACGACAAACAATTATTCAGAGAAGATCTTTAAGAAGAGGCAATTTCAAGCATGCCAATACACGCCACGACTCCTAAATATAACTTAACAAAGTAATTACAATTAATTAAGGTTTTNTATATATATATATATTTACAAGGAATAGTCAAGCTGTTGGCTGTAAAGTCACTTTATAAGTAAGTAGTAGTTAAGTAAGAATAAGTTAGAGGCGAGTCCTTACTTTTATCAGTTTCTACACCTGAAGAACAATTGGTATTGGACTTTTCCAGCCAGTAAACAACAAGCCTCTTATGATGGAGGAAAATCGATTCATTATTCGAACTAAGTTAATGGTATTTAAAGTAAACAGAATGTATTTATGTGTGAATGAGGTTTCACAGGCACCAATTCAGGCAAAAAATTAGTTTGGTTTTAGGAATTGAACGCGTTGAGGATGACATTACCTAGCTGTTGGTAGCTTCTGGAGCTCAACCTCAGTGAGGTCGAAGGTTTAACTAAACATTTCACCTGTTCAGCCCACGTACCCACCCTGGGAGCAGTAGCCCACTATGTGTGGAACTACGGCGACGACGGGTGGTATAGTGTGGTTTGAGGCTCGAGACCCCGAAAGGGTCCACCTCGAGTTCTCATCCACGGCCCTTTTCTCAATCCGGTTTCCTTCATTCTATCCTGTGACTCCTCCCAACCCATGGTTGCAAGGGGGGTATCCGGGCACAAAATAATGGTGTAGCCTTGAGGGCGTGGCAATCTCTCTAAAGCACTAGCTGTCTTATGTCGGCCTCAGGGTCGGCAGGGACGTCGGGTGCCTTAGCAGAGTCACAGGAGGTCCAGTGCACCAGATCCTATCTGCATAGACGGGGGGGGGTGCATGGCCATCTGTACCACGGGGTAACTTAAATGTTTTAAAATCAGCCCAAAGTTACACTGGGAATGGTTTCGTGGTGGCGCGTAGTGACGCCCCTGGCTGGAACTTAGGCAGAGGCTGTCTTCTACTTGTGACCTTCGTGAAGCTTGCGTATGGCCATCGTTATACACCCGGCCTCACGGGATACGGCGTACCGGACGACAGCGTATAGGCGTTGAGGACGCGAGGATTATGCTGAATAGTCCCTCGAATGCGTGAGTAAGCGGACGGAAACGGGTAGTGAATCGGTTTCTCCTACTCGAGTATGCTTTGCATTGTTGTGCGTATGACCGGCGTGGTACCCGTGGGGAATCGAAGGATCGGACCACCTAGGCTGAGCCTATGGCGTCACTCGAATGCGCATGGCAGGTGTAGGCTGAGCTCGACAGGAGGTTTTTACCGTAGGCAGTGCTCATCTAGAGAGTGGTTACCAATAAACAAAACCGCGGCCGGGGCAGATCCGGTAATTTCTACGCTAGGGAAGCTCCTATACTCTGGGAGATAGAGTGGCCTTCTCTATCTAGGGAGTGCGCAGGAGAACAGGCTGATGTATTTCGGCTTGTTAGCCCTTTGCGCGCGGCCTACGACCCGATGCACAATGCGGGCCCGACCTTTCGGATTGGACAAGCGGAGAGCGAGGTTGTCTTGGCCCTTAGAAGCTGGGGCGCCTCTGCACTAATGCTGTGGCGGTAACACCATTCCGTCGTATGCGGACGTGTGTCTTGAGAATCAAAACGTCCGATAAGGCCGAATAGGCCAGGTGCGGCCGCTAAAGATCCTCTAGTCTTGTGACGACGAGTACTCGGGAACGACATGTCGTTTTAGAGTCGAGAAGTACACGAAGATGTATGCTTATTATGAACAAGTTTTCAGAGTAATAAATATTATTCCTAAAGAGCATTTATGTTTAGTCTTCAATACGTAGGTCTTTTTTTCCAAGTGTCAAAGCCTTTTACCAAATAAGTGCGAATGTAATCGCAGATAAAATTGCCCCGTTGAAAATAGTTTTTAAGGCGTCAGTTCAAAGACCCTAATTTTATTGGTTTTTAATCATTGACGTTAATGAAATTATCTGTTGTCGGTATTTCTTGATCCGCCTACTCTCTACATTTTAAATATGCAATTGTATCATATGCATATTCATATGCATCAGACATAGAGTGTTCGTTATTATATAAATTATTTAAATGTAGTTAACCGCAAGAAAACAGGTAGTGAAAAAGCAATGTTGCTATCTAACTTTTTGTCATATATAGAAAAATTTAAATTCAAACTAACTGACTGCACCTCTTAAAGTGTATATTTTAAAAAGCTCCCAAGTACATCGAGAGTGGGAGTTTTCAAGTATATTAGATAGGAAATGCGTAGGATTAAAATGTTATTATGGAAATTTTTATCTTTATATATTTTAAACTTTCCAAATTAAATAGGCGTCAGATTTTTCAAGAAGTGGTCGGCTCCTACCCCACGTACGCTGGTAAAACATTGAAAACCCATTTGTCCAAATTGCTATATTTTCAACAGCGGCGAAATGTAGGTGGGCAGACAGGTTGTTCACCCCAAGAGGAAGTATTTAAAAAAATAAAAATTCTGCCATTTGCTGACGTTCGAAAACGAAAGATTTATGGCTTGAGAGGCCACCATGCCTCTGGCTACCCGATTCTATCAGAAGTAATTAGTTCTAAACAAATTATTATAAATCGAAGGTTCTTATTATGTTAAATAATAAAGCTCTAATGTCTTTTGTGGAATTGCAATTACTAGTTACAATTATTGATGTTGCTAGGCTTCATGTTTTTCTTGCTATGATTTACGAAGTGTCATAACATTCATACCACCTGAACTTAATAAAATCTTGTAATTTAATCTTACTTATAAAATTCTCAACTTACTTAGGGACATATTTTTACTCTACTCAGATTTTCTCAACCTTTCATTCCACATTTTTATTATTATCGTTGTCTGCCTAGTTATATCGCTATATATATATTGCTTTGTCTTCTCACCTAGCCGTACTCGCTTTCTATGCAGTTTTGCACTCTTTCTTTGTCTTTCACGTCTTCATCTTTATGTCTTTCTCTTCCATCTGCCCTCATTCGGTCACAGCGACTCACCCCTCTCTCTCTATGTATATATATATATTTTTTTTTATTGAAGTTTTTTTTTTCTTTTCTTTTAAAATATTGCTCTCTAACTTCGTTTTTCCTTTCTCACTCTCCTTCTATCATTTTTCCTCGTCTATCTATTTACCCCTTTCCTTACTTCTCTAAATTCATTTCTAACATTCTAACCTCTCGCTTCTCTTTTCTCTCTCTCTCTCTCTCTCTTCATCTTTATAGCGTTCTCTCCCATCCTTTTTTCCATATTATTTCATTCTTTCGCTTGGAGACTTCTCCCCCTTCTATCTCTATGTGTTTAAATAGATTTATCCTCTATTCTTTTAGAATATATATATCTCTAACTTTCTCACAATGCCTCTACCTTCCATCTACACCTATCTTCTTACGTCCCTTTAACACACTCCTTTTTTTATGCTACTCTCTCTCTCTCTGTTTCTTTCTCTCTCTCTCTCTCTCTCTCTCTTTCTCTCTCCCTTCATCTTTATAGCGTTCTCTCCCATCCTTTTTTTCCATATTCTTTCTCTTAGAGATTTCTCCCTACTCTATTGCTTTGAATGTAAGAGAGGTCCAAGAGACATTTCTCAATCCCAGTGTCTTCATATTTATATCATTCTACTCCATTATTCACTTATTATTTCACTTAGAGATATTTTCCCTTTCAGTTTATGTTTTAGAAAATTTGGAATATATTTCTGTAATTTTGTTTTTGCTTCTCACACTCCCTAAACCTTTTCTCTTTCTACACTCTTCTTTCTTTCATTCTACTCTCTTGCTTTACTATCTTTCTCTCTCTCTATATTTTTTTTCTCTCTCCTATTTCTCATTCACGATCTTAAAAACTCAATTTCTAATAATATTAATTTTCAGAGTTTCAGTTTACAAAATTATTATATAATTTATTACTCTGTACATTATGATTAATCTATTTCTGTTTTCAGTATTATGGACCACCTTTTACTTACGAACACTGGATGGAAGAAGAAGACAGCAATTTTCACATTAGCAACTAAATTTGCTGTCTTCTTCTTCAAGACCATACCTTGATCCAGTGTTCGTACACTATTTCCTCTTAAATGTATCATGTATGTTAGGTACAAATTAAATTAAACATCTCACCATTCACCAGTAATCGTAAGACTCAACTTCAATCGTATAAGGTGATAACAAAGAAACTTGTCCTATGATAACACATTGATAATAACATTCGAAAAATTTCCACTCCAACTTGACACATATTTGCTGGAAGAAAAGAAATGAAATAACTACCTTAATCGGATGTTAACTTCTCCTGTTTCAATTGGTTACTGTACCCGGGACAACATGCAGTTTGTTCGTGTAGGACGTCTTTGATGCCCCCTCCCGTCTGCGGTAGTCTGTATAAGGACTGCCCCAGTATTGGGAAGGCGAAGGCTTATTAACAATCAGGAGAATGGGATGTTGCCAATTATTTTTAGACAAATGGAGAATTTCAAGACCGCTAAACGCGCATATTGCACAATTTTGGAAAAAAATACAAAACTGAAAATTTCTGTTTTATCTTTTTTTTTTGTACGCTGAATCTTTATTCAGTGTTCTTTGTTAGTGTTTTAGTTCTAATATTTTTACATAAAATCTGGAATACCAAAGATTGTATTACTAGTTATTAAATAATGAATCAATAACGTTATGTGAATTTAAAAAAATTATAAAAACAAAAATTTAATTGGCATACTACGAATTAGATGAATTTTAATGACGTTTACCCGCTCCGTTGTTTTTCTCGCGAAGGTGGTAATGAATAGATAATAAAAAGATATGACCAAGAACGCTCCCTTGCGGGAGGCCAGGTTGTATTCGTGTGATCTGAATACTCCTTGTCGCACCTCATTCTGAAGCAGCGGTAAGTAAATAGGATAAGGTAATAAAGTGTGGTTATGAATCGTTTAAGTTTATAAACAATAACGATATAAATGTTTATAAAAAGCATGGACCACATCCAGGAACTTACCCAAAACTCTTTGTCTTTAGAGCGGAGAAAATTGTAATAATTCTGAAAAACTCCCTGGATCTTGGTATGAAAAGTACGGAAGCGGTATTGGTTAAAAGGATTGTTCTTACCCAACATGGTAAGAACGTTTCAAAAGGAGTCATTTTGGGATTTCGGACATCAAGGAAGAAGGTGTATCAGTAGGAAGAAGTACATAAAAAATGTCGGTGAGTTGGAACGTTCTAGTTAATATGTAAAAGTGGTTTTTTTAGGATCAAATCTAGAGTGAAAAATAAAATGGTCTTATTTATTCTTCCTTTCCCTCCATACCTCCCTCTCTCTTACACACTCTCTCCCTCTCTATTACTCACTCTCTCTCTCTCTCTCTCTTTTTTTCACTCTCCCTCTATATCTCTTTCTCTCTTTCTCTTTAAATAAAGAAAGCTAAATAGCTTTCAAGCTTTCTCTCTTTCTCACTCTATTTAAGTGCTCTCCCTCCTTGTTATTTATTTTCTTCTTTTACATTTTCTCAACGTTTAATACCTTTAAAGCCATCATTCTCTCTCTCTCTCTCTCTCTCTCTCTCTCTCTCTCTCTCTCTATTTCTTTATCTTCCCTCCTTTTCTGTTAGTCTCTTTTCTCAACTTTTATAAAAATTTAATATCATCTCTGTCTTTCCCTTTTTCTATTTATTTTACTTCTAACCTCTCTCTCTTTTTATCTCTAATATTTCTCTTGTTTTTCACTCTCTCATTCTTTTCTTTATCTGTTTTTTGTCCCTTTCTATATATATTGGCTTTTATAAATGCCATTTTGTTCGTCGTATTTTTTTTAACCAGTTTATATAATATTTTGCTTAAGCGTATTTCATAATTTAAGTTAAGAGATTCTGTAATACATATTTTATTTAGCAAGTTCAGCATAAAATAGCAATATTTATGACAGTTTCGTTTTAAATAGTTTATGCTTTGGAGCCTTGAATATGAATTGTATGATTCTTGTTTTTTACACAAATCGTGTGCGCTTGATTACGGTAAATTAGAGTAAGTCGAGCCTGCCCTTTCGTCGGTTTATACGTGCCTATTTCTGTCTGTTTCGCAACCAATGGTGAGTTCTTCATTATCATAACATTAAAATTTTATATTTCATGTCAAATATTCCAATTAGATAGTAAAACGACCTTCTCTGAAGTTGTTTCTTAATGTCTAAACCAGTCATTCTTCCTGTAATAATGCAATAAAACTTGCATAGTTAAAAAAAAATTACACGATCAACAACTATTTAAAAAATCAGCGATTTAAAAATTTATTTATTGTTATATTTTTATTGGTTCTTGTTTTTCTAGTCTTAAACCTGAAAAAAGTGTTTATAGTTTTTGTTGTTATTAAGATGGCACGGCTCGTTCAAGCTCTTCCGCTTGAAATCCAGGGGTCCATTGAAGGATAAAACCAACTAAAGAAAAATAGAGAATACAAACCTGGATCCTACGCCTACAGGCGGATCGGTAACTCTTTCCCTTATATGAATATTGAGGACTCAGCGTGGAAGTCAGCGTTGGGGCCAAAAGCTTTTATGTTGTCCATTCCAGAATCGAAGCCCACGACAAATTCGCCAGCAAATGAACGGCAAGGTCCTACTTCGCAACCTTTCTCTGCTCGTGTGGAACAACCTGCCACATCCTACGTCGAACGACTTTAGTATATTTTTTTCGTAAAAAAAAGATCAATAGCTTAACAAGTTCACTTGACCCAAGGGCTCGTTCAATGCCTCGTACAAATTTTATTTTATTTTGATCTAAAATTTCAGGATGAAACTCCGGATATAATAATTTTTCTTCATTGGCATTTTTTTTCATGTTGCTTTACTATTCAAACGTTAAAATGATAGCAATGTTTTAGAAATGGAAAATAGAATTACGAGATATCCTAGGAGGCCTCTGGCCCTGATGGATCAGGGGGAGTCACCCACCTTGGTGCCTGAGCGACTCCGAGGTTGGGCTCTAGTCGGGCGCCATCGACTTCTTTGGTCATTTCGGCGCCCTTATGTTCCCTAAAACTAGTCATTTTTACACTCACTCATACTCTTATGTACAAACCCAATCACACATGCATATCCCCTGTCTAGAATTCGGGTAGGAGGATACTCGATATTCCGCCCCGACCCGGCTTAGCGGAGCAGCGTGGAGCCTTGAAATAATATGCTGCACCGCCTCCCAGCATACTCCAATTCTAACATAAACTAAATCTAAACTTTAACCTATGAAATAAATACCCCACTATATACAACCCATTACCCCAATATCTCTTAAAAACGTAAAAAGTTTTTCTTTAAACTCGCTGCCATGCTCCTATAATCCGGCGGTATTCCATTTCGGTCCCTGTACGGGGCCAAGCTGCGACACCCCTTCAACACGTGCAACACCGTGAGTCTGTCATCTTGGCATGCTGGGCATGTAGGTAGATTCGCGCTAACCAACAGGTACCCATGAGTCGCACGTGTGTGACCGATTCGCAGGACGGTCAGGACAACGCTTTCCCTTCGAGATACCTCTTCCGGGCTCCACCAGTTGACCGTCGGCTTAACGGACACTCGCGCGTCAGTCGAGTCGGCCCAACGACGCTTCCACTTGTCTAAGCAATGTTTTAAATTGTGAAATAATATCGACGTCAATCGCATATCTTCAGTTTTTGTCATCACTTATTGGTCTATCTACGTATGTGTACATTATATGTATTTATTTATAAATCTGTATTAAAGTCAAATTTTTCTAACAAGCCCTCCTCTTACTGGAGCTCAATATTGTTTAGACCAAAGAATAAAAGTCTTTCTGAGCAATTATACAGACGAAACCAATAACAACTATACAACCGACCTTTCCACAAAAGACAACTTTCTATGGAATGCTACTCAATATATACTGAAATACAAAGTATCTCATATACCAGTCGACAGATCATAGACAAAAACAGACGAAGGGAAGGCAAAGCAATATACAGCGGATCTGTATATAAGTTCTCTGCACATCGAAACATACTAGGCTTACGACATAGAAGTTTGAAGTTGAAGCCGAACTGAGACCTCTACCGCTTGAACTTACTTCCGAAGCCTTCTCCCCATACGAGCAAATTTTGTCAAAAAGAGAAAAACGGGGAACATACTCCACCAAATTCCTAAACGTGACTTTATCGGCTTTACCGATCTGTACAATTACATCCAAAGAACAACGTACTTCCCAACGCCAAGGAAATCTGTCCTTTTTTATCATAATGTCGAAACCCAGCATTCCACTGCTTAACGTATCCTCTCATCGTCCTAGAAGTCTATTGGTGGAAAATATCTTTGAAAAAACGCTCAATTTATGTCTTTGTATCCTACTTGACTATTTTCATTTAATACCTGATCATAAGTTTAGTTTCCCACACCTACTATCTACAGTTCAACAACGTAATCATCTCCTCCTGAAGAAGCAGTACTGTCTGGCTTTTCTCGAGCTTGCGCTAGCGTTTAATCGGATCGCAGTAGGATGCTGTGGAAACGTAAAGGCACCCATTACCTCGTACTTCATTCCAAAGTCCCATCTTGCCGACCGTTACTTCTCGGTAACGTATTGTTCTTCACGTTCAGCAATCTATCCTTTCAGGACAGGACGGTAGTGTCCTCGTTCGTATCCTTTATTTAATATATGCAACTAACATCCCTAATGATCCCAAAACTTCCATGTTTTTATAGCTATCCTGTCCTGTCATAAAAAACCCAACCTTGTCATTAATTCACTACAGTTTCACCTTACCATCCCTATGGTCCTTAGCGAAATTTATCTTAAAAACAATAAAATAAATAAAACACTTTCGCTCTTTTTTTGGAGAGTGGCAGGTTCCGTCAATTCCAGTCTATTCTCCACTGCAAGCTATATAGGTGTTTTGTGGAACCCCTGTAATTAGGAAGGACCATACACATGCTCAGACACAGCCTCATAAACCTCCTTGACACCCCTCGCACATACTTGATTGGCAAAATTCTTTCTTGTTTCTTCTTCCGTTCCTTAGCATCTTATTTAGGTCGTAGCATAGAAAGCAGGGGCCTATAATTTTCCTCAAATCAAGCCTGCAGAGAGAGAGAGAGAGAGAGAGAGAGAGAGAGAGAGAGAGAGAGAGAGAGAGAGATGATGATGATGATGATGAACGCTTTATTTATCAATCACACAAGATTTGGTCTCAAGGACCATTCTTCAATGTGAAATACAATGGTTTCTAATTTTACTCTACTTCTAATTTATTAAACATTAATTACGTCGAATAACCTTATTTTTGTGCTCATTCACTAGTTTTCGTGGTCCCCTTGACAAATTAATATCTTTAAATTAATTAAGGTTTTTAGTTGAAATAAAAAAGTCAATGTCACGAGCGGGATTCGAACCCACGACCTTCGGCTAGATACGCCGCTGCTCTAACCACTTGAATTATCGTGACTTCGATCCACCCGGACACTAACTTACCATCTCAACCCTCCTTTTGAATTTTGCCTCCTTTTTGCCATTTTTCAAATCTCGTGTAATCTATTTGAGTCTCGGCGACAAATGGTGCATATTTTTGTGGTCAATATGTTCTATCTATTTGTTTTACATTGAACTACGTATGATTTGCATTGAAAANAAAGAGAAAGTTCTTTCTCCTCTCTGTTTGAGATAGTACTTGAGTTTTTCTTTCTCAAGACAATTTTTCAACTACAACATTAGCACATTCTCCGGTACGTCTAGTTGTGGTTCTAGTCCCATGGGTGAGAGGACTGCCCTTTTTTTGGCTAATTGGTCAGCCTGTTCTTTTCCTTCTATTTGTACATATCTTAGAACCCTCCTCAAAGTAACTTTGTGTAATCCTAGTCCCGTTAGGAAACTTAGGCATTCTCCGGCTATTTTGGAGCTAAAAAATATTTATTTAGAGCCTTTATTACCTGGCTGCCCGAAAGTATGTAGATCCGAACATTTTTAATTTTTTTTTCCGACATCTCCTGTATACAGAGTTTGATTGCACGGATGTTGCTTGGAATATTGTTGGAAACTATGCAAGGGGTTTGATTATTTTTAAAAAGCAAATAAAAGAAAAACATACAATAAAATGCAATATTTGTAGATTTTATGTGTAATATTTGAATACTTCCCGCAGGAAGCAACGCAGAAAAGTTGGGTTCAGTGGTGGTACAGATGTTTCTCGATCAATCATTTTGAAATTTATTCTTACCTCTAATTTATAAAACAGAGCATAATTAAAATATTAGCATTATAATGTTCTTGTTAAATGAAGTGGAATGACCTGTAACTATTCTGGGGAAAAATTTCAAAAGACTTAGATTATCTTTTCTCGCGTCAGTATGCAAATTTGCATAATCAACCAAATTTTATTCATTATTTCACCGGTGGATAACAATACGTATCAAATAATGTTCACTTATAAAAAGATCCTTTGCATAATGGCTTCTAATAACAACAAAAATAATGAGTAAGTAAGTTGATAAACTAGCGAGACAAACATGTTTATTGAAATAATGTTTGTTCTTTGAAAAAAAGTTAAGCTTGTGTTTTTGTTTGCAAGCACAATCTAAGCGACGACAACTTCATAAACAATATGACAACAAACGATCGATCAGTTTGATTATTAACGTCTCACAATTAGTTTACAATTTATGTTGTTACTTACGATTCTAAACATAAAAATAATGCTTCAAAGTGAATTTTTGATACATTGTTTACACAGACTTAATTTGACAAGCTTTGCGCTTTATTTTGTATTATAAATTATAATTGTGAAGGATAGAATTGTTTTAGCCTAGACGTTGAGAGTTGAGAACGCCGACATTCGATTTGAAAAGTTCGATGAAGTTGAATTGCTCAAGTATAATCCTGGATTAGTGTGCACTAACACTTGGGGATTATCGGCCACAAACCACGTTTGAAATGCCTCCGTTAACCGTATTGGTAATCTCGTTTGTAATGCAAAATGATCTGTCAGCCTGAGAGTGATGATTGACTCGAGTAACGAAGCGATTCAAATGATAATCTTTTCATGTGGCAAATCGACAGGGTAAAGCATAAGATTAATAGAGTCGGAATTATTTCTACCTTGTTTAAGTCAGAATAAAGTACGTTCTTGGAGTTCGGCGTAATGTTGAAAGAGCTTTGCTCTATTGAGCTAGTTCTAGGCTTGCCAGTGTAGTCCAAATTTTAAATGGAAAATACTACACTGTCGAATAACACTGGAATAAACTAAAACGAGGGGCGCCGGTGGCCGCAACAGTTTAGACGTTCTCACGGCGCTCATCACTGAAAGGTAAAGGTCCCGGGTTCGAATGCAGGGCCGCTGGATTCGAACTCGGGACCTTTACCTTTCAGTCATGAGCCGCGTGAGAACGCCTAAACTAAAACGCCTACATTTTTACAAATTTTTTACAAGTGGAAAGGAACAAAGCTTCTCTTCGCCCTGCTTATAACCCTGACATCGTGCAGTCTGGTTCGATACTTTCCACATGTCAGTAATTGTAATTCAATGGTGAAACAAAAAAAAACTAGATGAACATTAAATAATAAATTCATTAGTTTTAGTGGTCCGCTATTAATATATTTCAATTAATTAAGGTTTGTAATTGAGCCACGCCCTCTAAATATACACAGTGCAGATTTAATAATATGTTACAATTAATTAAGGTTTTTAGTTGGGATAAAAAAGTCAGTGACACGAGCGGGATTCAAACCCACGATCTTCGGCTAGATACGCTGCACCTCTACCACTTGAGCTATCGTGACCTCAATCCACTCGAACACTATAGTGAAGGTATACTTCAATTTTACTTATTAAATCCACTAGTTTTAGTGGTCCGCTTGACCAATTAATATATTTCAATTAATTAAGGTTTTTAGTTGAGATAAAAAAGTCAGTGATAAAAAAAAAAAAAAAAANAAAAAAAAAAAAAAAATGGTGTACGTTTTCTGAAATTTTCTGGTCTCTAGGTTTGGCAATAGTAGTTTAGAATCATCATAGTAAGTTTTTCAACTTTGAAAAAAAAAATTTCAAAGTTCTTGCTACTAAAACGCTTATTTCACCAACATTTACAAGTTTAGTATTTCTCATAACTTATTCAAAATTTAACGTAGTTTTCAACAGTATAAACGGATTTGTCTAAAACCTTTTAGTTTTGGAGTTATCATTGTTTATTTTAAGCACGGTCGTGAAATCTTAAAAAATCAGAAAAAGTGGAATAACTCCGAAAGTTCTGAGATTCGGACAATAGTTAATTAGGGCTTTTTGGTTTCGTTTTGAATGTAGAATCTACTGGTAAAGTTTGTAACACGAGTAGCAACTCCCTCTGCATGCACACTGTGCAGCTTTAATAATATGTTACAATTAATTAAGGTTTTTAGTTGAGATAAAAAGTCAATGGCACGAGCGGGATTGGAACCCACGATCTTCGGCTAGATACGCCGCTCCTCTATCACTTGGGCTATCGTGACCTCAATCCACTCAGACACTAACTTCCCATCTCAACCCCACCTTTTGAATTTTCCCTCCTTTTTGTCATTTTTCAATTTTTTAGTGTCCGAGTGGATTTAAGTCACGATAGCTCAAGTGATAGAGCAGCGGCGAATCTAGCCGAAGATTGTGGGTTCGAATCCCGATCGTGACACTGACTTTTTTATCTCAACTAAAAACCTTAATTAATTGAATTAAATAATAAATTTATTGCAAATGATTTTTGAAACTTTTGCCCCCAAGTAATGCCTGCCACTTTTGCCACCTTAATAAATGGTGTAAAATAAACCAAAGTCCTTTATAGCAATTAAATAATAATTGTCAATTTCTGATTAATTGTATTTATAATTTCCCAAAGAATTTCTTAAATAAGGATTTGATAATGACTATTTAAAAGAACTATGGTTGAAGAATTATATTCCCAATCATGTTGCACTTCGAAAATTGCCATACTACTGTTTACACAAGCATATCGAATAAAAGAGAAATCTAATAATGGTAAAACTACAACGTCTGCATAAATCGTCCAAAGTGATTGTCTTTTCTTCCAGAACGTGACCGTTGATAAATCAGCTAGCTGTTACGATTTCATTGTTTCCACACTGGCCTTTTATAGAGAAATTGTCATTTCTGAAAAACAACGATCAGATTAGTCATAATGTGTGTTATCGGCCGATCCCATTCATTGTATTTCATTCTGGCAATGTTCACTGACTCGAATTGATCGACGAGAGGTGAATTTTAAAAACCCTACCTCTTTCGCATAGTCAATTGTTTAATAGAAGTCGAAACAAGATAGATTTCAATTGGTTATAAATAATTCATTGGGTTTAATTTGTTTTACCAGCAGGGTAAATTTCCTTTGGATTTCTTAATTCTCCTATTTGTCCAAAGAGTACAATGCAATAAGTATGCAATAGTATTTGTGTAACTAAAAATTGTCTATACGATTTATTCAGTGGCTTTTAGCAACTTATTTCTTAAATAATAATTACTATTAATACAAGGAAAGATCGGTATATCGGAAGATCTCTAAAGCCATCTATATATTTGTTTAAAAGAAATATTTAAGATTTAGTAAGCGTGAGAAACAAATCAGGTCCTCAATTTGAAATTCTATTTTTTTTAAACTTATTTCCTTTATCCCGCCAATATTACCATTTGCCCCAAATTACTAATAATATATCCGGCCATGAAAAACGTCAAAGGTGGTTCGAGGATGCCTTATTCTTAGTTTGCAAGAATCACCAACTGTTCATGAGTTGTAAATGTTGTACCAACTTATACCATAACTATAACAAATCTATCTGCAAGGAGAATAGGTTGGAAGAGAAAAGAGATAAGAAAGAGTGAGAGAGAACAAAGTTATGTCATAGAAAAAGAAGTAAAATAGAGTGAGAGAGGGGGGGTCGTTTTACTACTTAATTGAAATATTTGACATGAAATATAAAATTTTAATGTTATGATAATGAAGAACTCACCAGTGGTTGCGAAACAGACAGAAATAGGTACGTATAAACCGACGTAAGGGCAGGCTCGACTTACTCTAATTTACCGTAATCAAGCGCACACAATTTGTGTAAAAATCAAGACTCATACAATTCATATTCAAGGCTGCAAAGCATAAACTATTTAAAACGAAACAGTCATAAATACTGTTATTTTATGTTGTACTTGCTAAATAAAATATGTATAACACAATCTTTTAACTTAAAATATGAAATATACTCCAGCAAAATGTAACATAAACTGGCTAAAAAAACCTTTAAAAAAATATTAAAAANAGAGAGAGAGAGAGAGAGAGAGAGAGAGAGAGAGAGAGAGAGAGAGAGAATGATGGTCTTAAAGATACTGAACTTTGTTAACAAGTAAGAGAAGAAAGTGAGTAAGCAGGAGGGTGAGCGATAGGTAGATAGATAAAGAGAGAGAGTGTGTGTGGTGTGTGTGAGAGAGAGAGGAGAGTGGAGAGTGGTGAGTGTGTGAGAGGAAGTGAGAGAGTGAGAAGGAGTGAAGGAGAGAAAACAGAAATAAATAGATGAAAGGGGGGGAGAACAAATAGATAGAGGGTGAGTGAACGAAAAGTCCTAAAGTTTTTGTGTTGAGAAACATAAGCTTAAAACGTATGTGTAATAAAGGAAAGAGGAGAGAGAGAGAGAGAGAGAGAGAGAGAGAGAGAGAGAGAAAGAAATGAGATTTTTACATAAAAATAAATAAAGTGAATAAGACATCCAGATTTTTCCAGGACACACAGCATACATTTAATAGTATAAATATAGTCCTTTTAAATCTGTTTTTAGGGGGAGGCAAAGTTGTTTAGGAATGTTTTCTCATGGTATGTATTTTAGACCAACTAGGTTTTTTTTGTGTTTCAATTAAAGAGTCGGGTTTCCAGGAGACTCAAGACTTGGAAGTCTCTTTTTTACCAATTTAAATGACAAAACGGTTTCTCCAGTCAAGGAAACGAAACGTGTTCGCCATTAGACAGACGACCATTAGGAAATGTAAGGGGTGTTTCCACTCTCCCACAACCACACTTTCTCGCCGTTATAAATAAAGTTTCCTTTAAGAATAAGTTTTTTTTAAGCAGAGTTTTTAATAGTAGTAGTTTAAAAATAATTAGTCTAATATTAACATATGTTGTTTTTTTACGTTTTTTTTCAGTCAAAATTATCCGAAGTGAAGATGGATTGCAGTAACTGTTTCTGTAAACGTCCAAGAAGGCCGAAGTACAAGTATCCATTTGTTTATATTTTTAATTTAAGTAATGATCAGTACAAAGTCATATCCTCAGAACAACACATGCCCAAATTTTTGTTAAAACAGCTGTTTTGTAAATATGTATATATCTAAATACTGTAAACAATTAAAGAAAAATCTCCTGGCAGCGATAGCGAATTTTATCGTATTATGCATAGAATCTGATGTCTCTTTTGCAAAAAATAATTATAGTTTAATTTTTACTTTATCGACTTTATTGCAAAGCTTTGTCAGTTTATTTATGAAAATAAATACAAAATGGTAGAAATATAAAATATAAAAATGCAAAGCCTAGCTTTGTCCCAGAGGACGCTGTCTCCAATGCTTGCCAATTCTAATTTTTATCGGCATTTCGATAATATGAGTTGGTCGGGCTATGAAAAAACAGGGATGTTAGCTTCTTTGTATGGTTCCAGAATGTATTTTTATGCAAAATATACCTTATCTCTAAGTTTGAAAAAAGTATTTATCCCAGTATCACACACTTTTGACACTTTGCGACTGAATAATTACAACAGTTGCCTGTGCACCATGTATATTTTATGTAACTTGTTGTTTATGTACCTGGGTGTATACCTATGTTTGTGTTTATACGTATTGTGAAGAGGTTTTCTTTGTAGGAGATTGCGCGAACTTTTAACATTGGATATGTTTTCGGTTGGATAAATACATTTTTTCGTTTATCGATTTAACGTTACCGGGGAGTTCGCATCGGTCCGCTAGGATGGTTAGGTGTTGGGGTAGGGTTACGAAATGGAGACTAAACTGAGAATAGTATAATTAGGTGTTGAGACACAGAGTTGGCACAAAGATGAAATAAGAGAAATGCACTAAAATCAATTTTATTTCGCGAATGCCCGACAAATACTGAAAGAAAAGAAGGAAAATTCATGTTGAGGAAAGGAAAAGAGCAGAGTAATAATATAAGATAAGGCCGGGCTGACTCGGCCCAGGCCCAAACAGTTAGGTTAGGGTTTGGGTTGGATTAGGTTAGTCTTAGGATTATTTGGAGATCGTGAGATGCGGTCTGGTGTGACGTAGGTTAAGAAAAAATTTTCTTTATCGTGCCAACGTTTCGGTCTTTATCTCGAGGGCACTCTCAACACGACACACAATAATGACACATCTACACAGAAAACAAACACTTTGAGCCCTGAAGATGATCTCAATAAAGATAGAAACGTTGGTACGACAAAGAAAATGTTTTCCTCAGCCTACGTCACACTAGACCGCATCTCACGATCTCCAAATAATCATTAACTAACGGTCACTGAACACCACACACACACACATACATACACGCTGGCTTAGGATTTAATTAAGGTTGGGTAGATAGGGCTAGATGTGTGACTGTGTTTAAATACAAGTAACATGTACTAATAATGTCCCGATGTGTTCATAGAAGTGGCTGCTTTTCTCCAATCACAAAATACAATTATGAGGAGACGTTTTTATTTTGTTTAAAAAAAAGATTGTTCTAACTTAACAACCCCCAGACCATTTCTGGAAATATTTCACTCTTGATTGTCATCTAATGTAGCAAACAAACAACAAATGTGCCAACTGATATAGATATACATTAAAAAAAAATATATATATATATATACACACACACACACCCACACATATTTGACTCAATCAAGTTGCGGAATGATTACTCTATATTTAAATTGGTTTGGCATGAATTGGACTAAGTACTACCTAATTAATAATAACTAAGCCATATAAATAGCAAGTTGTAAACTAAATATTTAATGCCCTGATTAAAACAAAACCAAACATAAAATCTGCAGTTATTTATTTATTTAAAAATTAAACAACTTGAACACAACAACCTGGCAGTAATACATTCATAGAATATTTCTCAAATTCAGTATGTTAAAAAAAAGTTTCTCTAACAAGGACTTTACACCTATAAAACTTTATTTATCTTTATCAATCTTTTGTTATTTATTGCTTTTAGTGCTTGTTCTGCAGCTTGTCCATCTAAAGATGCATGTACAGTGCCAGCGGATTTTTGTAGTCATTGCAATAAAGTATGCACAAAATTATAAATCATTAACATTTATTGTGTGATTAATTTTGTAAAAAAACTATTTCAAAGTTTAATCAATTTTTTTTACAGAAACTTGTTGCTGATGCAAGAGATTATCTTAAACCAAGTAATTTTTTTTAAACCTTGAACAAACCATACATACTTTTCTTTAATGTTTGTCTAATACAATGATGTTTTCAGGCTTTAAGAGAGTTTTCAAATGCATTTTGACTCTTTTTGTAATCATCTATGTTTTTAGAGATGAAGCATATTGCTGTAGAAGAATAGCAAACAGTGCTGCCGTTTACAGTATATTAGTTGATATCGTATTCAAAGCATTTTGCCATTTTCTGTTAAAAAAATACGAATAGACGAACAAAAGTTTTGATTTATTTGTTTTATCAATAAGCGATTTCATCGTCTTCTTTTCCATCATCAATACTTTCATCATCGGACGCTGACTTCGGATGGCAGACTATGCACGTTTCGTCGGCGTCATTCCAGCACTCAAGGCAGAATATATATGAACAGACCGGACACTTATGCAACTCCCGATCATTTATAATTTGTCGTCTTGATTCAAGATCACCACAGATCAGGCATTTTCTTTTTGCTATGTCAAAATATATAAGCCAACCAAGGAGTCCTGGATACTTGAGTCTTAACTTCAACACTATATTGCCATCTTGCTAGAAAGAAAAAAAAAATTACTGAAAAATTAGAACTTTTAGGTATTAATCTGCCTCACTGAAAGTTTATTTTCTTGGACTTTCCTTTTCACTCTGGCCAGCTTGTATTTAAAATAGGATATCCTTCTCTTAAGTGTATCATTATATAAAAATAAAACCCTCCGTTTCTCATGCTAAAAAGTAATCAAAGACTTATTCAATTGTTATAGTGTCATAAAAAAAATGGACTTACTTTCGGGTAGAAAGATGCACAGAAGAATCTCATTAGCCTTTCGGCATAACCTTGAAATATGACCATGGCAAAAAGGATACAATACATGATGTAAATCCTCTTAAGATGACTCGTCTTAAGCGATGACGGCACGGGGAGACATTCTGTACAATTTACACTCACAATAATGCTAATTGGGCTGAATCAATCGGTAAATCTTACCAGCGTTAGATAATGTTTCATTTAGCTTTCTTTTAAAATTAAAATCTTCTACTACAGATCTAATCATTGATGCCACCATCCCGGTTCCTTTTACATTAACAATCATATCATGAATTCCTGCATGTCATAACATCAAGGTTTAATTGTTGATATTTCAACATAGTATGAACAAACAACAAACTTATACAGTGTAAAAATTTAAATTTTAACTTATTAGCAAAATTTTTAATCGAATATTTTTATTGAATCGATTTTTTTAAATGAAAGGTAAGGATTTGAATTATGTGTAAAGTATAATTTACTTTATCAGAGAAAAAGACTAACCTGATTGATAATATTCCATCTTTGAGTGTCGCCTGACTAAATCGAGCGTCTCATAAAACAACTGGTCAATGAGTATGATTGTCGTTGCTGTTAGCATCTCAATAAATATTTTTATACAATTCCCCATCTTAAAAATAATAGATGTAGAATTTTTAAAAATATGTATGTTTCACAAAATTACAGTCTGTTTTAGCTCTTTTCTGGTTAATTTACACTGCGCTGGATCGACGAAAAATGTTTTTTCTATCTTCTTCAATGGTAGTAATGTGTGCTTGCCATGTTTATGCCTCCTTGCGTCGATTTTCTTAAAATATTTTGTTATATAAAAATTTGAGAACTTGATATCTGTCAGATAGTTCGTGTGGTAGCTGTTAGCACTATAATAAACCCGCAGTTTAGTTTTAAATCATTTTGTATTGTTACGATCAATACCTGAGTATTATTTTAATAAATGCAAGTGCCATTAGTCGTTTGATGAATAACAAAACCAAATCGATGAAATCTTTTTTCCTCTCAAATTCCTTCATGATTGCTTGTGCTGTGTCATCTGCTGTTCTGAGATCTAACTTTATTTTAATATTTTACTATTGATTTGAATGTAGAGGTTTAATGAAGCATTTTAAATTACTGTGATGTTAGGCTTTCGAATTTTATATGTGATTTCAGCATGCTGAAAATCTTTGAACATCTCTTTTTTGGCTTTTATCAAGTATTCATAACCGTACCCCCAGCCTGATGATATTTCCGATTTAGGATCGCAATTCTTCTCATCGCCTACAACTGAAATCCAACTGTGGCTTAATTTACTGGTGAGCTAATTTCGCCCGAGCTTACTTGCCGCCGTATTACAAACAACGGTGAGTTTCATCGGCCAGCACAGCGCCCAGGAAGCAACCGATGAAACAGCTTCCCGGCATCTGTCATAAGATGTGTCAAATATTTTTCTACAATTTGCTTCAGCCGCTGTGTAGATGCCTGGAATATATTTTATAGTGTAAAATTGGATGTTATTTATACAAAAAAGAAGAAAGAAGAAAAAAGGTTAAAATTTTGATATAACTGATAAATTAATTCCTCATTGAAAATTTTAACATAGAGAAATACTGAATTTTAATTTTTTTAACAATGTATATTTGAACAGCAATTAACCAAGCATAAAGAATTCATTGAAAGTAAATTATTTCTGCGCTTAGCTTGAATGCCGTTGTATTCTCTACAGTCTAAAGACTATAATATTAAACAAATGATTAATGTTTATACTTTCACATCTGTATTCAAGTTTTCTGTAATATTCCTCTTCTATTTTCTCATGGCTTACAATTCCATCTTCATTTTTTCTGGTTTTTCTTAATGAATACTTGTTATCTATGCTAACCGATCTTCTTTGATTTTTCTAAAATTAACTTTTCATGAGTTTTATAAATCTACAAACGTTCTAAGCATGTTATTATATTAAGGATAAAGTATAAAAACAATCCAAAAGTTTTTTCTTTTCCAAGGGAAAAAGTTTGTCAAATTAAAATTTAATTGAGTGGTGACAATTTTTTGTTTGGCTTGATATTGTAGCACAGACCTCTTCTCTTGTGCCCTGGGATATCTTTTAAAAAAAGGTATGTTAGTATTACGCAGGAATTAACTCCAGTTTAAGTGGTGGCACCCTTGGGTTACAATAAGATTTTTATTGTTTAGCATACAGTTTTGGAGGGGAGTAATGTTAGTTAGGAAAGTCTTAGCGGTGGATCGCTGGAGCAGCCATGGCCTATGGTTAGAATCCGGGCCCATGCTGACGAGGCTGATTATGCGATTTGAGGTAGCAAGAATTCTAGGTCCTAGCTAACATGGGTAAGTACAGTAACTCATATGGCAACACCTCATCCTATGAGCCTTGGATGGAGCGGTTATTTATACAGGGTGCTGGTGTAGACCCTGGGCATTAGTTGGCTAAGCTTAAGGTTCAGTGTGACAACATAAACTTTACACAATTTATATATATGTGTGTGTGTGTGTGTGTATATATAAACATTAATATATATATAAAACATGTATTATTAGGCATTTCATTGGGAAGCGAGTAGCATGAAGAAATGTATGTTTGTGTATATCTCTTATTTTGTTAGTTA